TTTTTGTCTGTATGTGTGTTATACATATACCTATTTGTGGTTGACAAGGACACACACTATTGGTAATATCTTTAAAATATATATATATATATAATTATTACAAAGTCTTGTAGTACAAGATTATTACAGTACAAAATAAGACTTCTTGTACTACGCACAGGTTATAATTATATTACCATATCAGTCACAATGAATGAAATAAGCAATACATTAATACGAATTGATGTCTATATTTTATTAAGATTTTTCAGGGCTGGCCAAATAGCTCAGCAGATTAAAGCACCTGAAAGCAGGCACAGGGACCCGGCATTTGATCCCAGAGCTTGCCGTGCCGGCCCTGCCCCTGGGGTGCACTGAGATGGCTATTGAGACTGGGCATGGTGATGCGCGCCTGTAACCCCAGATCTTGGGAGGCTGTAAACAGGCAGATCACTATGAGTCTGATGTAGTAGTGAGACCCTGAACGCCCTGTGAATCCTTCCCTAAAATCCAAAGAAAGAAAGAAGGAAAGAAAGGAAGGAAGGAAGGAAGGAAGAAAGAAAGAAAGAAAGAAAGAAAGAAAGAAAGAAAGAAAGAAAGAAAGAAAGAAAGAAGGAAGATTTTTCTTAATTTCCTTTTCTTTTTCCAATCTCCCACTTGGGATGCCACATTCCAGTTGACAATCATATTTTCTCAGGCTATTCTTGGTTGTAACAGTTTTTCAGACTTCATTTCTAATGGTCTTGATTTATTTGAAGTATACTGATCAGTGTTTCATAAAATAGCTCTCAATTGAATATAGTTTCATGACTATTTGACAGTATGAACTTATGCAAATGAACTTATGTATGTGAAAATCAGACATCTTATATTTATTTAACATTTACTGGATAAGTTAAGGACAATAGTGGTGTTCAGAATATGAAAATGAGTACTACTATGGAAGAATGGTATTTTCCTTTATTCTTATTATAACAATATACCCCTTATTTAGCAGAACAAATTACCTTTTCTCTATAAGTGACATGTTTTCTTGGACAAAATCAAATATTTGAGTATGAAAATATGGGAGTATAGAAATGAACTCTGTTCTAATGAGACCATCTCTTGTCTCTTTTTTGTCTTTTCTCTTTTAATTTAGCCACTGTATTGCTTTATTACTGTATTAACACAGCCATACTCCAATTGCTAGGATGAAATATCTGATACCCACAAGTCAAAGAAAGATTCTTATTTGCCTCACAGTTTTTGGTTGATCAATCAGTGCAGTTGCTTGGGCCCATGACAGAAGATCAGGCAGGTCATAGGAGGAGGACATGGGACCAGATCTGGTGCTGGATTGTTTTGGGGCACTCTTCCCCTCCTTTCTGCTTCCTGGCTTCATAAAGTGGGTTAAAGCACTAAGTGACTTAAAGCAGATTAACTCACTGAGCTAATCATCCCCACAACCCAGTCACTTTCTGAAAGCTCAATGTAAACACATGCAATTTTGAGGAAACATTTTATACTTAAACTATGACAATTATAAATAACAAATCCTGTGGACTAAGTAGATTGAACAAAAACTTATTTTCTCATAATTCTGGTGGCTTGAAGTCCAAGGTCAAGATGTTTGCTGAGCCAGTTTCTTCTGAACCCTCTCCAGACTGTACGGTGGACATTTATTCCTTCTTTTCACATGACTTTTCCTCTCTCTGTGTTCCTTGTCTCCTCTTCTAATGACACCAGTCATATTGGATTAGGGTTCAAATGACCTCTTTTATCTTTTTTTTTTTTTTCATGCATTACTTTTAAAGTACAATCATCACAAAGTCATGTTAATGTGGCTCAGATCTATTCTCAATTTAAGCATTCACAATGTACAAAATAGTTCAACAAATATAAAACTGTTATTCTAAAACTTATTTTTTAATTAAAAATGTATTTTCCTTGTTTTTCACACATAAATTCGTCTGTCAATGTTTGGTTAAAGCTTTTTTTGAAAAAATGTATTTAGTATACGTTTTACGGGGTCACACTGCTCAGCTCCAACTCATAGTGATTCTCCTGTTTTCAGCCTCCCAAGTGTTGGGATTATAGACATGTGCCACCAAGCCAGTCTCAGTGGCAGTCTCAGCATGCCCTGGGGGCAGGGCTGGCACAGCATGAGGGGGACTGAACCCAGGTCCCTGCGTCTGCCTAAGCAGGTGCTTTAATCCTCTGACCTATCTCGCCTGCCCTTGACCTCTTTTATCTTAATTACATCTTTATACATATGCTTATCTCCATATCCAATCACATGAATAGGTCCTGAGAGAAAGAACTTCAAATTTGAATTTTGGGGAGGGTGTAATTCAGCCACAACATTCACAACACCAACAAACTGGGAGATTTCACAATAGGCAAGGAAGCAGTGTAAGGGAAGACTATTAGCTTTCTGTGGCTACAACAAAATGCCTGATACACATACCTTAAAAGAGGAGTGCTTCATTTAGGTTCACATTTCTAGAGGTTGATTGTCAGTCCTTGGTCACCAGATTCCAAGTAGAAACATCACACCAGAAGTGACATGTAGGAGCAAAAGGAGTTCATATTATGGCACCCAGAACCACAGGGCAGGAAAAAAGGACAGAGAAACCGTTCAGGAACCAGAGATAATTCTCAATGCCATGCCCCCCCTGACTTACTCCTTTCAGTGAGGTTTGCTAAGTCTCCTACTAAGACCACTAAGACCTACTAAGTCTCTGTCATCATCTAATCATGCGTTCATATTATGCTCTCATCGGTATCCACTGATGAGATTAGAGCCGTACCATGCAATCGTCTCTGGAAAAGCCTACAAACACACTCACAACTGTGCCTACTAATTTGCTAGGTGTTTCTCAATCTGATTAAGTTGACAATCAACTTAATCACCATAGGAAGTAATAACTGAGATGAACAAAAGTTATTACAGGACTGTCATTCTACAGCTAATCTAATGCAGATAGTTGTAGCAATAGCAGGTGATAGTGGGTGATTATTTGAGAGATTTAATAGGCCATTTAGAGAAGCAAGCTGACTATTTTCTTGAAGTGGGGTCCAAGTGGACAAAAGAAACCTCTTTTCAGCATTTTATTTGATTTGATATGGGGTCTGAACATCATACCATACATTGCTCTATATGAAGGCAGATTCAACAAGAATATGAATGATCTTTTATTGTAAAAATTATAATTTATGTAATTTAGATCTCTAGTTCCTAAGATTAAACAGCAATACAATACATGTCTCGCTTGAGCCTGGAATGAAAACCAAATAAACTCTACTTAAAGTGGGAGAGACAACTTTCCATATGGCTGAGATTTTGGTGTATTTCAGCAACATTACAGTTTTGCTTCTCAAAGCCAGATTTAATTTAGCTGTGTTAAAAATTAAAGGCTCTACCTGGTGCAACAACATCATTTTCTAACAAATAGATGTTTAGAAAACTGGGTTATAGTCCATGTCCTTACATTCCTCACTTATTCTCTCAGTCTTCCACATGTTGAAGAAAGCAGTATTTAACTTTTATCTGTTGTACAATCAGATCGCAATTATCAGGTCTTTTCATCCTATTATAATCAGATAGTTTTAATTATTGCCAAGGTTGTACTTCCTCTAAATTCTTTTTAGTTTCTCTGATGCTTTATACTATGAGTGGGCATGTTTCAATGCTTTATAATTCAAAATGGGATTTCTACACCCAGGCTAATAACTAAGTTAGCTTCACATGGAGGCAAGGCATGTTGAGTCACTTAGTGTCTTTTCATGTGAAGGAAACAGTCTTCTTGCCTACTTTGATCTTCTGGAGAAAATTTCCAGAGCGTTGGAGAGACCACACTAATTTCTAGAATGATGGGAGTCTCTTCAGTTTTTTAATGTCAACTTTCTGTTCTACTGTGTTGGAAAAGGTTGAGTCAGAGTGAAGGTACCATCTGTGTCCTACTGGTGTACCGTAAGAGTGCTGTTATTGTGATACACAGGCCATTTTAGAGTTAATATGAACACATTAGAAAAGCTTAGGAGGAAAACTTCTCTCAAATCTCCTCCATGATAATATTCTTCTTTTAAATGATTGTAAAATTACCCTCAAGTGACCCTATCAAAATGCTAAACAATAGACCAGTCCCTCTTTATCATGAGGAAATAAAGCTAAAATTTTGTCTCCAATGACAGTTTTCACCCCTAAACAGATTTCAGCCAGGCAGCTAGAAAAGCTGGTGGGTGAACTGCACAGGCCATCGTGGGCGCAGAGCTCAGAGCCGGAAAGCAAACAGCTGCTAGAGCCTGATTTGAGTTAAAATAGTGTGAGTGTTTAGTCTGGCGCAGGGCTTCAGGGGAGATTGGCAGCTGGGTCAAACAAAGTCCTTCCATTGGCTCCCTTCCCAGGCAGCTTCTGCTAGTATTTAGTAGGTACTAGTGCAGTGTAGGGCCCTTTTCTCAGAACCTAACATCTGACCGCACCCTCCCTGCTATTTCAAGAAAAAGGGAAAAAAAAAAATCTTCACTTTTGCTTCTTTCGTTATAATTCTCCACTAGACAACCTCTCCCACTAATTGTGTATTAGCCGTGTATGTTATCTTGGGCGCGGACGCACCGTGCTCTCGACGTGGTGTGGAAAGCAGCCTGGTTCAGCGCTGAATTCATAAAACAGCCTTCATGGTTTGTGAAAGAATATCTGTGTACTTAGGCAGGAAACTTTTTGATCTGCAGAAAAGCCAGAAGACCTCTAGGTAAGGCTCTGTGTCAAATCTGCTTTGCGGGGAGAAAGTTGGGCAGTGGGACTGGTTCGTCTCAGTGGGTCTGAGTTTAGAAGGTGCGTGTTTACTTCTCTGGAACTTTAAAAGGTACTGACTATTGTTTGCTTATTTTGTTTGTTTAAATTTTAAAGGAGTACTATAATCTGTAGTTTTACGATTTTGTTTCCTGCTGTTGAATCAAATGCAGTGAACATAATTTTATTATATAGCGAAATCTTTCTAAGCTACCCTAGAAAGAAAGTGTTATGTAGCAGGGAAATTGACCAGTTTTAAAGAGCAATTGTACAATCATTTAAGGACAGGGGACACTGCATTAGACTAACAAGGGTTTAATTACAAAAAAAAAAAAGTTTAATGTTGCTTTGGAAGGAATATTAAGTAAGTTGTCTTTGTCTCGTACTTTTAAATTTTAGTCGCTGATTTAGCCTGTTGGGTCACATTTTTTGTTAGTGCGGAACGCTGCCACGAATCCCTAATGAGGCCCCTTTGCACACGATTTTGGCACTTGGCCAAAATCAACTTCCCAGCGGCAAGCTTTCTCTAAAGAACCTGGGGCATTTTTTTTTTTTTTTTTCCTCTCGATTAGAAATCATGTCTGAAAGCTGCCACAACCAGTTGTGTAGGCATGTCAAAATGACTTTATACAGTAAATATGACACAGGTAACTTCAATGTTTTCCTTTTATAATGAGCTCTATTGCTTATTGCCACCTGAAAGACATTAGAACAAGAACGATCTTACAGAAGATTTACAGGTTTTTGTTTTGTTTTTCTCAGCAAATCAGAGTAAGGGTAGTCACCTCATTGGGAAGTACACAGTGTGAAAAGCTTTTTCAAAACACTTCGGCATAAATAACAGATGAATTCTTAAAACTTAATCTCTGTAAGTAACACTCAGTCAACTGTAAGTAATAAAGTTTTTTAGAAGTTTCGTTATGGGCCCGACGAAGCTTAACATTTTCCGAAGTGGAGTTTTTGTGTATATAAAATATCCTGGTGCTTGGGGCTTTAAGAAAATGTTAACATTTGTTACATAATTTTTAAAAAATATTTAACACCTCGGTATTCCAATAAAAGTTGTACTAGGAATGTTTGGAATACAAGTATGACTGCTAACTTTACATAGCTAAACTTAATTGCTATCTGGCAATCAAAAAGATGACTTTTCATGAAAGAAATTTCGACTGACACTATCAAAGACGTATACAACTAATTTTGGCGACTTACTAATTTTGATATGACGACAGGTGAATTTTGTCCTGTAGGCCAATAAGTTAATTTATACTCCAGTACTTTAAGAGTTAAATTCACAATTTAAAATGAAATTCTGTAGCAATCAAACATTAACAACTTTAGATTTTATATAGCTGTTTTCAGCAATACTTTTAAACATTAAAATTAGGTACACAGCAAGATAAAAGTAGAAAAGTAGAATCTTGGTTTTTCTTCTCTTATCAGATATGTTTTATTACTATCCTAACTGTTTTCACCTTATGTGTTAGTCAGTAACAGTCTAAATAACAACTTTATCTTTTACTTAAAAATAATTATATTTCTTTTTAATGTATTGGTGAGAACAAATGTAAGAGTAACCTGATTTAGAGCTGTTTAATAGGTGTATTGATCTGCGAGTATCTATCACTGTGATTAGTTTCCCTTTATACAGTTGTATCAGAACAAAAAGTAAAAATGAAATATAAAGTCTAGAAAATTCATCTTGGTTCCTTTCAAGTCAATCTACCTATCTACCTCTATGTAAATATAGAAAGAGAGGTAGATAGGAATATTGACGTTGGGGTGAATTGAATCATAACACTGTGCATACCTTACTGTTACCTGAATTGAGGCATGGAGCAGCTGACATTACTATATAAGCCAATATTAAAATTCATACAAGTTATAGATTACAATTTATAGAAATTTACCTGAAAAGTGTTCTGAGTTCACATGTGAATTCTCATTTAATACGTTGGTGTTACCTAATAAAAAAATAAGTTAGTATAAGTAGACACTTCAAAATTTGGATAAAAGAATAGTTTACTTGATTGTTAGCAAACAAGTGGAAAAAAGAGAAAACTTCTCTTGTTCAGAATGATTCATGCCTTAAAAAATGATTTCAAATTTTAGTTTCTTTTAAATTCTTGTTCTCATTTTCTATTCATCTTTTGATGATGAAACAATTTTTACATAGTATATGAAATTAACAGTATACAGCTCTAAAATTTACTGAGACATGCTTTGTCCACAAATTCTATGAATTTTTGTTGCTGTTGTTAATTAGAAGCAGTGTCAAAGTGAAGCACATCAAACGGAACTGTAAGAGCACACACACACATACTGGTTGGTAAGCTCAGAAGAAACTTTACACATTTCATACCTAAAAACATGTTTTTGAGTTGATGTTGAAATATGTAAACATTGAGAACAGTTTAAATTGTAGTTTTTACTTAAATAGTTAAAAACATACTTTAATTTGCTATCACAATGAACTACAAGTATTTCCATGGAATATGCTCTTTGGTGGAATTATTAGCTAATTTTTTGGAGGGGATGTAGAAACAAAGTATCTATTATGTTTTATGTTGTTGAGCTAACTTTTAAAAAAATATTCAGAAAACTACTTTCAAGGAGATATATATTTTAGTATTATGTTTGAATTTATTTGTGAACAATAAAATTGAATAATGTTTCATTCATTAGTTTTCTCATTTTTAAAAAATTTTCAAACCAATTCATACCATTTTACAATGTAGAAACACTTTTTAGAAAAACTTGACATTTATTTCTAGTTTTCAATTTAAATTATGGTATTTTACTACTTTAAGATTTTTTTATTTTTTGTTTGTTTCAATATACAACAGATATATAAAACACATTTGTTCCCAGATTAAAAGACATTACATAATCATCAATTTTTGTTCTATACTTACATGCTATAATACCGTATTATTTTATGTACAGTTTTTAATGTGAGAGATGTTTGCATGGGTTCTTTTAGGTTAGCATTTCGTCATTATAGATGTGCTTTGCTCTAAGAGATCTACATTCCAGCAATGAGAAAAGTGCATGACTTTGTTAGATTGAACATTGTCACTGAATTTTGGCCCAACTGTAGTGACTTCTTCCAAAAAGGTAGTATAGGCAAGATGATTGTGGGTCTGCAGTAAGAAAAGTAGTATGAACACTACCATTTGCTTAGGAGAAAGTATGAGCTAAAATAAAAGATAACACATTTCATAGAAATATTTCATTAATTAATAATATATTTTGAAACATTAAAATTTAGTAGCAATGTATATTAGATTTGTTAGACTTATCTAAAGAATTAACCGACATTTTATTAACTAGTGTTTTATTATTAAATCAGATGAGCAACTATCATACTTCGAAGCATTAATATATAATTATAGATTAAAAAGTCAAATAATTTTTTAAATATGCTCTGGTCTAAGTGCAATTAATAATGACTACAAAGAATAATGTTCACTGATTTTAAGCCTCTTTAACATAAAAGTATCACTATGTACTTATTGAGATTTTTACTTTATATTTGCTCAGTTTTTAATTATCATAAGTCAAATATTGAGATTCAATGTCACTTTTAAACAAGATATTGATAGCGTTATTGTACAATTAACTTGGCCCATCGTGTGCTTAAACCTTGACAATTTCTATCTAACTCTGCCTCCCTCCAAGTGAAGATGAATAGATCCACAAAACACCCTCTTTTATGAAGCTCATTATTTTTTCTTCAGAATATTTTATGAACTCTTTCACTTTTTCTTTTTTTCATGGTCAGGTGTATTTGTCAACCTGTGCTTCTACTTCTGTCCCCAAATATCTTGTATGTATTAATTTGGAAAGTATGGTGGATTGCTGTAATTATTTATTCCATATTACCCTGGCCAAAAAAAAAAAAAAATCAGAGTTGCTTATTCAGAGTTAGTGAATATATGAATCAGTGTAAAAGACTCTATCAAGTTTAATGCTTTCAACAAGTTAAAACTTCACACTATTCAATGTCAATTAGTGTTCTTTAATATGTCTGTGGAATGACTAAATGTATGCCTAGCATTAGTTTTAAAGATTTATTACTTTATCAAATATCTGAATTGTAAGCATTATTTTAATACCAATATTTCTTAAGCTTATCATTGTTTTCATTTTACTATTATTGAAATGTTGTATAACATCCCTTTTTAAAATACGAGACTCAGTAGTCACAGTGCCTTATGTTCCATTTCTCTGGCCGATAAGAGGTCAACTCCCACGTGGGGGAAAGCCTGCAAATAGTTTCAAATTTTCTTCCCTGTGACTATCAGCTGCTTTACTATTTGCAGAGATTTTTGAAAGGAGCAATAGTCTTATTTGGATATTTACATATATGTGAGGAATATACAGGCTTTCTTTGTAGTGGAGTTAAAAAAAAAAACAACTTGAAATAGCAAGCAAGGTTGAGATTAATGGTATGGTATATTTTCATAGTAGTTTACTGTAACTTGCTATTCCTACATATATGATAAGTGGGAAAGATACCCAGTGGGCCCTGAGATGGGCCTTCTGTATTGACCAATAAAGAACTTTAGAGTGACGGGGTGCTCTGAAGTGATATCAGAAAAGAGAAATTGGTCCAGTCTACAGGGTAGATGGTATTTTAGGCCTGTGTAGTATTGCCCTTATTTAAATCTCCATTCTCCCTTCAAAACTCAACATCACTAATCCCAGATATTTTCACAAAGAAAGACAAGTTATAACAGAACATACTCATTCTTATTCCCTGGAGAGAGTACAGTGGGGTTTCTGTGGTGTAGCAATGCTCTTTTATTTATAATGACTTTAAAAAAAAACACGGTGTACATGAGACAGTCCATTCAGTGGCTCACATCACCACAATAACCAACTGAATTCAAGCCTCAGAAAACATAATTAGTTTTTACTTTTGGCTTAAATTTGGCATGATTTCAAGAAGAATGC